CACCGTCATCGTTTTCCAACGCTTTGCCCTGATATTCATTTAATATGCAACATGTTCGTACTGGCTGAGCCCTTTCTCGTGATAATTACCGCTGATCTGTGCCACATGTTGCTCTGATCTCGTGCCTCCCTGCAGTGCACATCCGGACCGGACCTTGAAGGAGTGCCGGACCAACCGGGCTGTGGTGGGTATGTGGGCCCGCGAGCTGCTCCAAGCAACAGCCTGGTGGACCAAACTCTCACAAGTCAAGCCTGGCCTCGGGCCGGGCTTGGGGATTAGAACAACTCCCAGAACCCCATCAACCAGGTATCAACTACGTCCGTTGCAAAAGGTCTGAGCTGCAAGGTTTCCTACTGCAAGGTTTGGAAGCGTTCACGAGTGGTGGCAGAGCGTGCTGGACGGAGGAGTTGTTAATCCAATAATATCTCTGTGGCCAAATTAATTACAATTTTGCCTAATCTGAGTAATTAAATTAGGTCTTACTAGTGAGGATAATTCTCGTATTCACTGTCACACAGGGCAGATCATACACAAGACGAAAGGTCTAAACTGTAGGCGCGCGCGCACACAAAACACACACAAAACACACACACACACACACACACACACACACACACACACACACACACACACACACACACACACACACACACACACACACACACACACACACACACACATACACACATACACACATACACACACACATATCTTTCTCACGGTTACAATGCAGTAACCAAGTACATTAGACAGTATACATGTTTCAGTTTACGAATTTGTAAACCCAACTTTCTATTGTGCACTGTCACACAAGGCCAGGGATTTATTTTAAAAATAAAATTGTTCTTCATTCTTTAAAATGGACAAGCAAATTTAGAATAAATAGTTAACAGGAGTTAAAAATTTCCCAGTCGGCTTTGTTTGAGGCGTTTCTCGAAAATTGGGATATCCCCCCCCCCATCCCTTTTCCTCTTAATTCAGAAATTTCTCTGTTGTGGTGACGGGATATGAGTTCATCACGCATCCTGCCGGCGTTACTTCCCAACCGTGAAACCTGCTCTCTGGCTGGTGCCCGTTGGTCGGTATTATTCTTGACTTTTCGGTATTATTTTCGGTATTTCGGTATTGGGGAGCCGGCCGGCCGAGCGGACAGCACGCTGCACACGTGATCCTGTGGTCCCGGGTTCGATCCCGGGCGCCGGCGAGAAACGATGGGCAGAGTTTCTTTCACCCTATGCCCCTGTTACCTAGCAGTAAATAGGTACCTGGGTGTTAGTCAGCTGTCACGGGCTGCTTCCTGGGGGTGGAGGCCTGGTCGAGGACCGGGCCGCGGGAACACTAAAAAGCCCCGAAATATTTCAAGATAGCCTCAAGATAGATTATTCTTGACAGCCTGTGGCTTAGTGGTATGATTGTTGGTTCCCAGCATAGCTTGTAGATGTTACAACAGCCCAGTTTGGCGTTGACAGATTAAAGTTACGAGTTATAACCGATTTGTAGGCCTATATTTTACACTTCGTCACATAGGTGTATTTCAAATGCTTTAAGACGAACAGTGGTGTTCTTCTCTACAGGCCCACGTAGAAGATGACTAGGATTAATTAATTATCTCATATATATATGACACGTATGATTTTCAAGTAGCCAATAGGCGTCAAATGTGTGTAATACTAAAATATGATTCCATTCTCGGTTTTTATTCTTTCTATCGCCGGTGAAAATGTAATAATGTATTCTGGAATAGCAAACTTTGGTAAATAGTTTTTACAGTCTGTATTCAACCAAATTTTAGTAATGTCTATAATTATCTAAATTTTTCCTCTATGGCAATGGCTTCATGGTCAGAAAAACTGCTACAGTAGCTACGTGCATTTACATTCAAAGATTTGAGAAGAATATTTGCAATAAGGTCCACATGTTTTCCCTTGAGTTTATCACAAAATTATTACAAATACTTACTTGTATACTTACACGGGCTGCACAAACGGGTGCTGTGTGTTATTTTGTCAATTCAAATACTAAAATGACAATATTTTGTCATTTTATTCAGCGTCTTTGCAGAATCATTTGTTAGGCTCCGAAGCCAGCAGCACTAACTCTATTTAGATGGAGTTGATTTTTGGTACAAGTGGCCTTGGTTTAAGAGATGTCACAAGTTTCCTTAAACAGACTAATTTTACATATTAGATAATTTTTCGCACTTGAGTTATCATTTACTACTTTCACGTGACAATAACACCCTAACACTTCCATCTTAGAGTCAAACTTTCGCATTCTACATCGTTTAAACATTGTGTTATTAGATGTTTGTGTCCTAAGACTGGTTGTCTTCTAATGCGTTCTTCTTGCACTAGTGTTAAAACTGCTCCTTTGGTTGTTAATCATAGAGCACTACAACCGCTGCACTGTCGCATATTAGTGTTTATTTCTATAAATATATATGTAATACAAAAAAATTGTCCCCCGCATTTGTCCATTTCTCTGACAAATGTGTTGTCCGCCAGGGACAAGAATAGGGGAAGCCATGCAACATTTGTATCTGTCAGCGGAGGCCACTCCCGGACACCCCTGCATCCTCCCCCTCCCTGGCCTTGCTACCACGGCAGAATCCTTGCCAGGATTCTCCAGATCTCTGCTGTCAAGAGTATAAAGTTCCAAACACTCGGGTCTAATAGAGAAATTAGTGACTCCCAAAAGCATTCAACACCGGTATAAAAAGCTATGATTTATTTAGATAAGAAAAATGTATATGCGCAGCACAAAAGGAACTCCAGGCAGTGCGACATAGTGGTTGTCAGGATCGAGTTGTTACATTGACATGGGGCTAGTGGCTACAGGTGACGAACCTCCCAATCCTGAGCACTCCAGGTGCAAACTCTGTGAGCAGGAAATGGGGTCATGATCTCCCACACATTATTAAATATCCAGTCATTAGACCCTACAGATCAACCAGCATGAAGTACCTGGAGCTTTGTAATCACTTAACTCTAGTGATCTTGAGGATATCTTTATAATTCACCCATAATTTGCCAGTGGAGGCTACTGATCACATACCTCCGTAGGACTAACCATCCTGTAGGATGGGGACTTTCAGCATCATTGCTACTTTATTCTCTCTGGTGTTCTTGATATCCTCATAATGAATTCAAAGTTTGCCAATGCAGACTACTGATCACATGCCCTTGTATGACTAATCATCTTGTGTGATGGGAATTTATAGCATCACGGAGTTTTTGATGCATTATATACTCTTTATATAGCCTAGGATTGCTGCGTAAATGCAGATGTACCTAAATGTGCTAATACAAAAATTTGCAGTTTTGTAAAGTATAAAACAAAATTTTCCATTTTGGATCATTTTAAAGTCAATGTCTGGCAAGAAAATAATAAATGCTATATCGAATCTTCGGTCTGTTTGAAGAACCTTTTCAAACATAATAGAGCTCGGGATATTCTTCCTAATATATCTGTGTAATCAAGTTTTAAATACTTATAAACATCAGCATTGTTCTTCTAAATGATTGTGTTACTGTTAGGCTTCTTGACGTGAGGGACAGCGTTATCTGACAGCCGTGAGTGCGTGGTGCAGTTTCTTCAGCAGCTCAAGTTGATGCCATTTGTTTATGGTGGGAGCTGGTCGGCCGAGCGGACAGCACACTGGACTTGTGATCCTGTGGTCCCGGGTTCGATCCCGGGCGCCGGCGAGAAACAATGGGCAGAGTTTCTTTCACCCTATGCCCCTGTTACCTAGCAGTAAAATAGGTACCTGGGTGTTAGTCAGCTGTCACGGGCTGCTTCCTGGGGGTGGAGGCCTGGTCGAGGACCGGGCCGCGGGGACACTAAAAGCCCCGAAATCATCTCAAGATAACCTCAAGATAAGATGGTTTCCCATTATCGGGGACAGGATGCCCGTTATCCTTATTGACATCCCCCCCACCCATCCTAGCCAGTTACTGACCTTCCCCAGGATGCAATTCACAAAGGTACCTGTTGACTAATGGGTGTACGGAAACGTGCTCAAACGTGCTTTGTCTTACCCGGGATCGAACCCTAGCCCATTCAGTTTTGCCGAGTGATACAAAGATTGTTCTTCAGGGCTCAGCTGGAGGAAACTTTTATTTATGCTCGCAACACAAGTACAAGAGTAGAACACGTCAGTATGCGACACATGGGCCCTCGACTTCAAGATGGAAGCAAACTTTGACTTCAAACTTCAGAAAATTTCCTATTTAAGGTGTTTTGAAGACATGTTTCGAATCACGTGTAAGATACGAATGCCGTTACGAATGTCTAAATTTTGAGAACAATAGTCTTTCTAGTTTGTCCTATATAAAATAAAATGTTGGAGGAAATTCAATTTTTTTTTAAATTCAAGCAAACGCACTAATAATTCGGGAATAAATTCTTTTTAATATATCAAATTAAAGGTTAGGAAATGGTTTTAACTGAACGACAGGATTATTCAGAATGACCCCACTGTCCCAGATTTCATGCGGACGTGTCCTGCCTGGCTCGCCCCCGGACCCCATCGTCCTCCCCCCCCCTGGACCCCTCAGGGTCGTTCTGGACCCCCATGGTACCTCCCTCAGGGTGGCTCTGGACCCCCTGGTACCCCCTCTGGGTCGCCCAGCGGAAGGGTCGGATTTATCTTTAATATTTGTAGTACTCTGATCATTCATTTCATTTGTATTAATTATCGTATACTTATTTCATGACCATGTCGGGCAACACTAACTACAGTTCTGTAACTGATCACTATCCATCAAACTTTATTGCAGATTACAGGGAAATAAAAACTGTAACTAGTTCACCACAAATGGAAATTGCTTTGAATATTTTATCTTGGAGATAGAGAGGGCCTTTTTCCAGAACCCATTATGTGACTGTAACCTTTCAGCCGCCACCCATGGGGGGGGGGGGTATGTATGGGGTCCTTAATAAAATTAATCAATCAGCCGTCCAGTGTGTGTTGACCGGTTCTCTCTCTCTCTCTCCCGCAGCGCGCCCAGTGAGCAGTAGGCTGCCTCCCTCCACCAGACGGGTAAGTCTCTTCATATTTCCTTTCTGGTTTGTGGACAAGGTGCCGGGTCATGACAGTGTGGAAAGTCTGTCGAGAATTTCGGTTGCATTTTCAGACCGGAAAATTCATGGAATTTCAAATTGGTATTTCAAGGCTTCGGGAAAGTTATAGGAGAGGGAAAGTCGCCAATATATAAGCGTTTGACCGTTTGTGATCTTGGCATTGTCCAAATAAACGGACTTCTCGGTTTAGAAACTGCTGAATATTTGGCTTTAATGTATCCGGCTAAACAAAGCCAGCATATTTCTTTTTAATAATTTAGATTTTTAAGGTTATTTTTTGTTCTGTAAAGGAAATAACGACTCGTTTCATTTTCGAGTAGTGAATGGAACCTTGCTGGTATTGTCTCAGAGAGATCGTCGGCGGGTTTGTTGGGTAGGGAATTGCCGGAGTTGTTTATACTGAGTGGACACTATCACTGGAGCAGCTCAGCGGGGCTTAGCTGGTAGTACAATCTAGCATCATCACCTCTCACCAGTTTAGTGAAGTATTATGCTGCCAGCCCGGCACGGGGCCAAGCTACCATGGTGATTTGACTGGTCAGCCAGGCTGTGTGTGTTTGCAGTCCACTTCGAGACTTCGGTATCTCCTGAAGGCTTTCACCTTTGCTCCACCGTGGCGGGGTTGTATTAACTGTCCATGTAAAGTAAAAATAAATTGGTAATGCATGAGTAGAACTGCAGTAGACAAAACGAATGTTGAATGGGTAATTCACTGTTAATTGAATATACAAAGTTTTTTTTTATTATTATTTTCTACCACAGACGTGGCCACACATTTACAATGCTAACCAGCATATATACATTTTCTTCTGTCCTCCATGGACAGGGTTAGAGATGTGTTCAACATATAGTTCAAGGGTTTATTGACCAATCAACCACAGAAGGTGATTGTAGTGCTTTTAAAATGCTAGGCTAAGCTACATACGTAAATACATAGATACACAGATTTACGTATACCCTACATAAAGTGTTCGATGTGTCTTTTACATAGTGTTATTAATGTGCATTTACAAAGGTGAAATGTAATTCTGATCAGCTTCCATATATACTTTGTACACATACACACACATGCGTACATATATACACACACATGCATTCACATACATTTGTCTCTTTTACTCTGACAGGGTGAGATAGCTGATAGAGAAACTAGTGTGCAATTAAGCACTTAACCACTGAAGGTGATTAAGGTGCTTTTACAAGCTCAGGTTATATAGTTACAGCACATACATACATTGTATAATTGATACATTACATGGTCAATCTTGGATACAAGTCCAATATATCATCAAGTGTTCCAGTACTCATATAGTAATTACAGAGTTCAGCATACCTCAGCCTAGGAGGGCGAAAGTCAGTCAATATGGGACATTCTACAATATAATGTTCAAGAGTGCATGTTTTCTCTTTCACAAACTTGACACATTGTGTAATCGACATTTGGGGTTTGAGAAAGCTGCCAGATACGTCTATATCCCAGGCGTATTCTGGCTACTATAACATCACATTGTCGGGTTCTTGTTCTATTAGTCCCATATGTGAATGTCTCCTCACGATATCTATCATAATATTTAATGCTACAATTTTCAGGTCTTTGTCAATTTGTTAGGTCGGTGAGATCTTCATTAGATATTTGTTTAAGTATTCTCTTTGTCACTGCTAATGAAACGCCCATATCAATTTCTACCACTGGTTTTCTACAGGCTGTCTTTGCAAGCATATCAACAGTGGCATGCTTTGAGATGCCAACATGTGATGGTATCCATAGGAATTTAATTTCAAATCTGTTTTCTTTAGCAGCTAAAACATTCATTCGAATAGACTATTTTTTGGGTGTCACTACTATGTGCGTTCAATGCCAGGAGTGCACTCTGCGAGTCACAGTATATAAGTCTACTGCCTTTGTCTTTTAAAAATTCAGTGGCAAGGTATATGCCTGCAAGTTCGGTTTGAGTTGTACTTGCCCAGTCATTGACGCGCTTCATTGCTGTATGTACGAGAGAAGATTGTTCAAATATGTTACATGCACATCCGGTACATCGTCCACCTTCTTCTACAGAGCCGTCGGTATAGCACTGATACACATCGTTACCCATACCCTGAGTACTTTCAGTGATGCTTTTCAGTGTTAACTGTTTTAATAATGTAGAGTGCACACAATCTTTCTTGGGCGCATTTACAAAATCAACTGATACAAATAGGGTGTGTGGTGGTGTGTGTACTTACCTATTTTGGCTTGCGGGGGTTGAGCTCTGGCTCTTTGGTCCCGCCTCTCAACTGTTAACTGGTGTGCAGGTTCCTGAACCTACTGGGCTCTATCATATCTACACTTGTAAATTTGTATGTATTTAGCCTCCACCACATCACTTCCTAATGCATTCCATTTGTCAACCACTCTGACACTAAAAAAGTTATTTCTAATATCTCTGTGGCTCATTTGGGCACTCAATTTCCACCTGTGTCCTCTAGTGCGCGTGCCCCTTGTTGTTAAAGAGCCTGAATTTATCTACCCTATCAATTCCTTTCGTGAATCTTGTATGTGGTGATCATGTCCCCTATAACTCTTGTCTTCTAGCGACGTACGTGTGTGTGTGTGTATACGTACGCGCACACGCGCACGCACGCGTACGTACGTACATACTCCCCTAGATATGCTTGCAGGGTCGAGCATACAGGGACTCTTTCATTTGTTTTTATTTACATTTAAAACTGAGTATAGAATTATATATATGAGCGCGTGCTTGTGTGTTCGCGGACACACAGTTGGATAACGTGCCGGTAAGTGAACCAAGTTGCACACCGTGGACCTGACTGGACATCAGGATTTGGGGAAAACATTACAACACTCGCGTTAGAAACTGACGAATGTGCATGATGGCGCCCTGGCCTCGTCATGCATGTAACGGGACTGGAGAAAGTCGAGATGTATGCCACCACAATGTTGCCAGAGGTTGAGAGTCTGTTGTGAGAGCAGACGAAAGGATTGAACTTTACATTACTGGAAATGATAACAGGAGACATGATCCCGACATAAAACGAGGCGACACAATCGGAAACAAACATGATGAACCAAAGGGACAGACAAATGAACCAAAGGGATACCAGGTAGAGTTTCCCCCCGTCAGGGTAGGGATTAAAGCGTAGGCCCCCTAGTATAGAACCCATTGGATTAGCCAACTGAAATTTGATTAGTCTTGTAGACGGGAACCTGGAACTAGAATTCTAACCCCTACACCAAACAGTATATACCAAAAACAGTTACCAGTATTTCCTATAATATGCACATAAGTTTTAAGACAGTGATTTTCTCAGTTTCTCTTGTAATAATTAACTGCCTAATATAAATTATTGCATACATTGCACAGGCAGAGTAGGATGTTGATCAGTTAAGAGATAATGACATCAGCCTCTCTTTGTGGCCATTGAGTGGTGTGTGTAAAGGGCGCATGTACAAAGTCAGTCTCCAGGTTAAACAAGTGTTTACCTTTGGTCCGATCCGACGGGTTGCCGGCGTCCGAATCTGCTGGTATGACTTGAGCCGAAAACCATTAGCCGTTATTATCTGTCTGGCCAGTCGTTGTGTAGTTGTTAGCTTATTTTGGTGTAGAGGAGGAGGGGGGGGGACGGAAGGGGGAAGGGCACTATCAGGGGAAAGCACCAAGCCATTATGACTATATATCACTTGGAAGGGATCTGTATAAGGTATTTGGGATGGGACGGGGGGAAGAAATGGTGCCCAACTATTTCAACGGTCGGGGATTGAACGCCGACCTGCATGAAGCGAGCCCACTGTGTCTAGTTATAGGTTCATCACTATTTCTTCATATACATTTTCTTAAAAGATTTCCTCACTTTGCACCGGCAGGATAACACAAGTTTTAAGGTTGATCTTTGCACGACTTTGGAGAGCCAAGTCCTAGTGATAGGATAACCTGCGGACTTTCTTATTGGGGTGAATGCTGTACACTGTATGTTCACTTACAGGTTGAGTGACGCTGACCAGTTAACACGCCTTTAGAGGCATATATCTGTACTGGTTGATACCTGGTTGATTACCTGGTTGATGGGGTTCTGGGAGTTCTTCTCCCCAAGGCCGGCCCGAGGCCAGGCTTGGTCCACCAGGTTGTTGCTTGGAGCGGCCCGCAGGGCCATATATCCACCACAGCACTGTATAATTCAAAATAATCCTAGGCAGTGGCGAAGTATCCTGAAGCCCCGTCTAAGAAGGAAATGGTAAAGGATGGTGACGGGGGCGGTCCGCTAATGGACGGAGGCTTGGCATGTTTTTCCTACCTCAGGCGTGGTTAAACAATATTGCAATGCTAACTAACATCTACACATTTTAGTCTGTCCTATATAGAAGGGTCAGAGAGTTGCTACAGTAAATTATTGAGAAATGGACCAAAGAAGGTGGTGTAAAATGTTTTTACTGTATACAGGTGACTGACTAGCATGCATATATGAATTCCGGGGATGACAACACGACGGAGTCGCCAGTGCAGACTGCCTATCACATGCCTCTGTATTACTAACCATCCTGTGTGAGGGGGATTTTATAACCTGTGTGATGGGGATTTTATAGCATCACGTAGTTAGCTTTTTTGACATACTGTACTCCACTTCATATAGTCTTGGGTAACTGCACTAATGCAGATGTACCTAATGTATTAATAATAATAAAAGCACGACTTGTCCTCGCATGGTTTAACATATACACGTTACTTAACTTGTCCCCGTGGTGTTCACTAGACTGTACCATGACTAGTTTGTACGTATGCACCACTGCTATCCGGTTCAAAAAATATATATTAACATAAACGTGTTTTTTTTAGTTTTGGCAAGCCGGCGGCGCGCCACCCACGCCTGGACCATCTCACGGTAATGGAGTGCTCACTTGTAAGCAACACTTGGCGTGCCCAGCCTTCCTCACCATCTCGTTTAAACATTTGGTTAACCTTT